TTCTAGGTGTGCAAGATGACAAGATGGTTTGATGTTGATCTGGCTGCATTTCAGGGATGAGAGATGCAAGAAAAACTTCCATGATGTTCCACCATCTTGGCCCCCTCCCCAATGGCATTTTTCATACAAATAGAGTAAATAATGCTAAAATTCATATGGAAACACAAAAGACCCTGAATAGCCAAAGAAACTTTGAGCAAGAAGAACAAAGCTAGAAACTTCACACTTCCTGATTTCAAGCTACCATAAAGCTATAGTAATCAGAACAGTATGGTACTAGTATAAACACAGAACGGAGATAAATTAAACAGGATTGAGAGCCCAGAAATAAACCGATGCTTAACCAACTGAGCCACCCAGGCGCCCCCCAAACCGATGCATAAATAGTCAACTAATATTTGTTGAGGGAGCCAAGAATATTCACTTGGGGAAAAATGGTCTTTTCAATAAATGGTGCTGGGAAAATTGGATATCCACATGCAAAAGAATGAAATTTGACTCTTGTTACAGCACTCACAAAAACTAACTCAAAATGGATTAAGGACTTAAATATAAGGCCTGAAACCATAGAACTCCTAGAAGAAAACAGGAAAAACCTCCTTGACATTGATCTTGAAAATGATATTTTGGATATGATACCTAAAGCACAAGAAAAAAGCCAAAACCCAGTGGGACCACATTAAACTAAAACTGTTTACTTTTGCACAGCAAGAGAAACAATAAACAAAATGAAAAGACAGCCTGTGGAATGAAAGAAAATTTTATAAATCTTTTGTCTGATTAGCGGTTAACATTCCAAAATACAAGGAACTCATACAACTCACTAGCAAAAACCCAAACAATCCAGTTAAAAAAAAAATAGCAGAGGACTTGAACAGACATTTTTCCAAAGAACACATACATATGGCCAACACGTACATGAAGTTACCCAACAACACTAATCATCAAGGAAACACAAGTCAAAACCACAATGAGATATTGGTCAAAACTGTTAGAATGGCTATGAAAGAGATGAGATAATAAATTCTGGCAATGATACGGGGAAAATGGAACACTTGTGCACTGCTAGTGGGAATATAAATTGGTCCAGCCACATGGAAAATATATGGAGGTTCCTAAAAAAATTAAAAATAGAATTATCATATGACCCCCAAATCCCACTTCTGAGTATATATCTGAAGAAGATGAAATCACTATCTTGAGGGGCACTTGGGTGGCTCAGTTGGTTGAGTAGCTGACTTCAGTTCAGGTCACGATCTCATGATAACACTTTACATCTTAAACTTACACAATATTATATATTGTTTTTATCTGAATAAAGCTGGAAAAAAGTTTTTAATTTTGTTGTAGTCTAATGTATCAGTTTTTCTCTTATGTTCAGTATTTCAGTATCCTCTCTATAAAGACATTATCTGGGGGCGCCTGGGTGGCGCAGTCGGTTAAGCGTCCGACTTCAGCCAGGTCACGATCTCGCGGTCCGTGAGTTCGAGCCCCGCGTCGGGCTCTGGGCTGATGGCTCAGAGCCTGGAGCCTGTTTCCGATTCTGTGTCTCCCTCTCTCTCTGCCCCTCCCCCATTCATGCTCTGTCTCTCTCTGTCTGAAAAATAAATAAAAAACGTTGAAAAAAAAAATTTAAAAAAAAAAAAAAAAAAGACATTATCTGTTCCAAGGACACAAAAATATTCTTTTATACTTTTTTAGATTTCTTATGGTTTTAGTTTTTATATTTAGGGCTGTGATTTGAATGAAATTACTTTTTGCATGTAGTGTGAAGCAGTTGTCAGTGTTCTTTATTTCAAGACAGTAATTCAATGATTCATTTAAAGAAAGAAAACCCATTATTAACTCAATACGTTTTTGTTAAAGTTCAACACCTGTTTGTGATTTTAAAACAACCTCTTAGCAAATTGGGAATTAAAAAGAACTTCCTTAATATAATAAGATAAAATTTTATAAACCTAAATAATTCTTATTGATTTCACATTAGAAGAGCTCCATTTAAATCAAGGATAAACAAACATCACTCACCAAAGGAGTAAATCTCTTGGAATAATTTGTGAAAATAACTTCCTTGGGCATGTACTTATTGACCATTGTAGACTACTTTCTAGACTATCAGAATTACATGACATGCAGAGAAGCCCAACTCTGTATCTTTCCTTCCAGATACAGTGCCACAATCAGGTTTGTTAGCTGTCTTCTCATTTATTTATGGGAGTTCTTTCTTTTTCTTGTGTTGCAATGTCCTTTTGGCTCCATATGTTAACTTCTGTTTGGACTACCTTCTGATATAAAAAATTCAACGATTTGTTTAGTTAAATATGTATTTTCATCTCTTGTGGTTTCTAGGTTTCCTGTTTTGCTTTAGAATGTTTCCCATCAAAAACCACCAGATAGAAAACCAGAAAAAGGTTATAAATAGGCAACTCACTGAAGTGAAAATATGATTAATTAGAGCTTCTATAAGATTTTTTTACCAGCCGGACTGATCAGCAATTTTTCAAAAAGCAACAACTTTTTGCACTACTTAGCCTACTCATTCCCTGTTGTTGATAGGAATGTGAATTGTTTCAAAATTTGAAAGTTATTTGCCAATATCTATTAAAATATAAATAACTATCTCAATTGCTCAATTATACTACTTTGAGGATTCTGTCTTATAAAATCATCAGTGGGGATCTATGTATAAGGGTAATTATTGCAACATTATTTGTGGTGGAAAAGATATTTAGAATATTTAGGATATCCATCCAAAGGGGACATTGTTAAGGAAATAGAATGTATTTAATGTAATGTTATTAGGCAGAAATTAAAATGAATTCTTGTGATTTACATTAGTTGGGTTTAATTAAGTCCACCACATATTATAAAGAGAGAAAAATAAATTGCAAAATAGAGTAGGGTGCGACAACATTCTTTACAGCATAACAAAACAGTGACAAAAAACTCCCAAAGGACAAAGTAAGCCACTGAGAATAAGCCACAAAACCCAGAAGCTATAAGGAAAAGATGAATATATCTTACTAAATAAAAATTAGAGCTTCTGTATACTCAAGAACAGCATAAAATTAAAAGGCAAGACTTCAAGAAAAAATATTTGCAATTCAAATGCAAATAAGAAGTATATAGACTAAAGAATGTCTATAAATGAATTAGAAAATTGGTAAAATATGTCAAGAAATTCACAGAAGAAAAAAACACAAATAGCTAACAAATATGTGTAAATACATAAAATCTCATTAAGTGGAGAAACATAAATTTAAAAAATTAAATTATTTTTCACTCATCAAATTGACAAAAATGAATTAAGATTGATAACACACTCTGTAATTAAGGGTGTGAATAAATAGGAATTTTCATACACTGATGGTGAGAATATAAATTGGTGAATCATTTTTGGAACATAACTTTTGAATATTTATCAAATTATTAAATGTTCATACCCCTTGTTCCAGTATTCCTTTCCTAAGAATCAATTATTAAAGAAAACAAAGCTGTTAATGTACCAAAAGATGAATATACAGGTACATATGGTAGAGTATCATTGATAATAGCAAATAATTGAAAACAACATGCATGGTTTTCAGTAGAAAAATGGTCAAGTTGTGGCAAATGATTTCATGGAATAATGTGCAACTATTAAAAAGGAGCTGTACCCATATGTATTAACAGGCAAAGATCTCCAAGATAAATTTCATATGGCAAAGCCAGTCACAGTACAACATATAGAATAAGATTGCAGAGTGTGAAAATATGTGTAAAAATAGAAAAATTACTTTAACATATGCTATAAACTATTAACAGTTATTCTTCTGTAAAGTTAGTGGGAGTAGATGGGAGTGATAGATTGTCAGTGGAGAGTATTATATTTAATTCTACAGAACAAAGAATTGTTTGAATTTTGTAGCAATATGATAGATCTTTCTTTTTTTTTTCAATATATGAAGTTTATTGTCAAACTGGTTTCCATACAACACCCAGTGCTCATCCCAAAAGGTGCCGTCCTCAATACCCATCACCCACCCTCCACTCCCTCCCACCCCCCATCAACCCTCAGTTTGTTCTCAGTTTTTAAGAGTCTCTTATGCTTTGGCTCTCTTCCACTCAAACCTATGATAGATGTTTCTTATGCAATTTTTTAAAAACATTTTAATGTGCTGATTTACTTCTAAAAAGGTGTGTTTTAAAACTACATATAATCCTACAAAAAGATAACTGTCATTCAGAATGTCAAAATAACACAGAAATACAGAGAAATATATATTCCCAAATAACAATGTCAATAAACAAATTAATGTTAGTATATGAAATTAGATTGTGGTAATTGTTGAATAACTCTGTGAATATTCTAAAATACACTAAATTGTACACTGTAAGTAGGTGCATTTTATGGTATGTGAATTATATTTTTATAAAGTAGCTTAAGAAATCAATGGCTTAATATGCTAACATTTACTGGGATGGTTTTATTTAAGACATAAGGTAATAATTTCCAGTAAATTCATAAAAATATTTACAACAGACATTTCTAGCTCACCTCCCCTCAACTCTTAGGAAATATTCCTATTTTCCTTGAGGTCAGTGAAGTGAAGTTGAGAGGAAAAGGTCATCTGTTTTATAGATGAGGAGGTTACTATGTGAGGCAGAGTTGGGAGAGGCATTCCTTCTACATGGAAATCTCGGGAATAGAAAGCAAATGTAAGGTAGGGAAATCTACCTGGTGAGCTATAAAAAAATTTAGACACAATGCTTCTAGTTTACACAAAAATATAGAGTCAGCTCCCTGGCTTTCTAAATTATCAACTCTTTTTTTAATTGACACAAAAGAACAACAAAAACTAAAAATCAGGTCTATAGTCTAGTCATCTCATATGATAAAATTACCCACTGCTTCATCCCTTTTGAAATTATCTCCCTTCTGAAACACAACAAACTCTAAAAGCGAAAAAATCAATAAAATTATCCTTTGCTTAATAAATATTTAGTGGCTTAGATAGAGTTCAGGCAAAATACCCATGGACAAAGACAGCCACTGCCAGGAGAAGAATGGCATTGACATTCACTATAGCCCTCCATAAAGGCTTCTCAGATGTGTCTGTCAGCTTCTTTTTCTGGGCTTCTTCCTCCTCTCTGCTCAACTTGGGGCTTTTCTTCTGCAAACCGCAGAATAAGTCATAAGCCTTCTTGAGACATCCATGAGGTTCCTCAGGATTATCTGAAACAAAGAAAGATAAGTGAATGATCACAAAACATGGGAAATAATATCCCTGCCAATGTAGTACAGATGACTGTAAAGGATGATTACAATCACTTTTTTTTAAGTTTTTTTTAATATCTTTTCACTCTTATGTGGATCCTGAGAAACTTAACAGAAACCCATGGGGGAGGGGAAGGAAGAAAAAAAAAGAAAAAAAAGAGATTAGAGTGGGAGAGAGAGCCAAAGCATAAGAGACTCTTAAAAACTGAGAACAAACTGAGGGTTGATGGGGGGTGGGAGGGTGGGGAGGGTAGGTGATGGGCATTGAAGAGGGCATCTTTTAGGATGAGCACTGGGTGTTGTATGGAAACTAATTTGACAATAAGTTTCATATAATAAAAAAAATAAATAAACTGATACATAAAAACTTAAGAAAAGCTTAAAAAAAACTTAAAAAACTTACAAACACTTTTAAGTGTTGGAAGAATCTCTGAGAAAAATATAGATAACTTTGATTATATAACAATAGAAAACTTTTGCATGACTTATGTCAATACAATACAACACAATACAACAAAGTAAAAATACAATAAACAAAGTAAAAACAAGTGACAAACTGAGGAAAAATATTTGCATCTTATACTACAAAGGGTTTAATATCCTTAATGTACAATGGGCTTTTGAAGTAGAGAATAAAAGACTACCAACAACTCCATGCAGACATATATACATACATCAATAAACAGTTCTTAAATTTACTCAAAAAAGAGAAATTTGAAAAAAAATGACATTGAAATACTACTACTCATTTGTCCGTGACAACAATTAAAAAGTTTCACAATGGGATGCCTGGGTGGCTCAGTTGGTTAAGCATCTGACTTTGGCTCAGGTCATGATCTCACAGTTCATGGGCTTGAGCCCCACGTCAGGCTCTGTGCTGACAGCTCAGAGCCTGGAGCCTGCTTTGGATTCTTTGTCTCCATCTCTCTCTGCCCCTTGCCTTCTCGTGCTCTGTCTCTCTCTCTCTCTCCCTGTGTGTCTCAAAAATAAATAAAACATTAAAAAAAAGTTTCACAATATACTATGTTAGTCTGCGTGGAAGCAGGTACTCTCACACATTGTTGCTAGGAAAGCATGGTTCAACTCTCATGGAAAGGAATTTGGCAGTGTACAGCAAAATTGCATTGGCATTAGCCCTTTGACCCCAAACTCAAACTTCTCAAAGTCTGTCCTGAAGGTAAATTGGCAAAAATACAAAAGCTCTAAGTACAACGCTATTTGTGCATTAGAAAATTTAAAACATACTTCCAAGTTCAAATTTCCATGAAAAACCATAATGAATGTAAGACTATTCTTAAAAATGAATGGTAAAGAAAATTCTACAAAATAAAAGAAATGAGATGTAGTAAAAACATCACTCTGAGGAAAATGTGTAGCCTTACTTATTTACATTATAAAAGAAGGGAGACTGAAAATTAATGAAATAATATTCAATTTAAGTTAGAAAAAAATAGCAATAAACCCAAATAAAGTAAATGGAAGGGTATACAAATGAGACAGAAAGTAATAAAATAGAAAAGAAGGGTAAAAATAGAGAAAAATAACAAAGTCCAAGTTGGTCCTTTAAGAGAAATAAAATAGGCTAGTCTTTAGTGAAATTTATCAAGAAAAAAGAGACATCATAAATAATTACATAAAGAATAAAAGGGAAGGCATAACGACAGAGGTAGTAGGGATAGAAAAGCCAATAAATAGTATAAATAACTTCATGTAATTATATTTAAAGTGTGTACTAAATAGACACAATCCTAGGAAACATAATTTTCCCAAACTGATTAACCAAGAAATGGAACCTTTAATAGCTCTATAGGCATTGATTAAACACAGATTTAATCAGTTTAAAAGTCTCTCTCTCTCTCTCTCTCTCTCTCTCCCACACACACACACACACACACACACACACACACACTCACCAGCCCCCCTAATGCCTAATGCCGTTATTGGCAAAATACCAAAATTTTGATGCAGATATCATTCCACTCTTATTGAAATATCTCCAATTCATTCTATGAGAACACTAAGACCTATTTTTGGGAGAGAGAGAGAGAGAGAGAGAGAGAGCAGTAGAGGAAGAAAGAGAGAATCTTAAGTAGGCTCCATGCCCAGTGTGGAGCTCAGGGTGGAGCCCAGTGCAGAGCCCAATGCGGGGCTCCATCCCATAACCCTGAGATCATGACCTGAGCCAAAATCCGGAGTCAGACACTTAACTGACTGAGCCACCTAAATGCCCCAAGAACACTATGATCTTAATACCAAAACCAGATAAAGTACAAAAAAGGAAAACTATGTAGTCCAGTCTTACTCAGGAATACTGATATAAAAATCCAAAAGCAGTAGAAGGCATTTATCCTTCCTTCAAGTTGAAGATCCCAAGCCAAATCAAATGAAACAATTAGTGTGGAGTTCCAGACAACATATCCTGAAGTGGTAAACTTGGTCAATGGTTTTAAAAATTCCAGGTAGGGGCGCCTGGGTGGCTCAGTCGGTTGAGCATCCAACTTTGGCTCAGGTCATGATCTCACGGTTCATAGGTTTGAGCCCCACATCAGGCTCTCTGCTGTCATTACAGAGCCTGCTTCAGATCCTCTGTCTCCCTCTCTGTCTCTGCCCCTCCCCACTAGTGTGTGCTCTCTCTCTCTCTCTCTGTCTCTCTCTTTGTGTGTTTCTCAAAAATAAAATAAAATAAGTTAAAAAAATGCCAGGTAAACAAAGAGCTATGGGGGTGGATGCTAGAGAAGTTTCAATGAAGGCAATGGAATTAGAACCTAGTGTCAAAGAATAGGCAACTTTTTCTCTCTCAGAGAGGAAGTAGAAATATTCTAAGAGCTTGGTATACATGGCGGGAAGGTGAAGAAATCTGCCTGGCTGGAATGGATGGTATATTGGAGAGAATAGTGAGAAAAAAAAGTTGAAGAAAAAGGTAGGACTAGATGCTAGATGCTTAATCACTATCAATCAAGATTGATTTGTTGAACATTTATTTTTATTTATTTATTTTTTTTTTTTTTTTTTTAATTTTTTTTTTCAACGTTTATTTATTTTTGGGACAGAGAGAGACAGAGCATGAATGGGGGAGGGGCAGAGAGAAAGGGAGACACAGAATCGGAAACAGGCTCCAGGCTCTGAGCCATCAGCCCAGAGCCCGACGCGGGGCTCGAACTCACGGACCGCGAGATCGTGACCTGGCTGAAGTCGGACGCTCAACCGACTGCGCCACCCAGGCGCCCCCGATTTGTTGAACATTTAATATGTGACTAGGAATAGGAGACACTGGATTGATTTTCATGTTAGAGCTGGTACACAGTTCCATGGATAAATGATGGTTGAATGGACAGACAGACTGATGGACAGGTGGATGAATGGGGATACTTCATTTGTAATGAATTATCTTAGCTTTGGGGAAGATAAGATTTTAAAGTTTCAGTTTACCATAAATCTAACAGCTTTTTCAGAAACTGAATTTAGTGGCATTAAAAAAATAAAGCAAACATGAAACCAGTTCAGGTACACAGAATTTCTACATGAAGACCAAATGTAATCCAGATATTACCTTCATCAACATCATTATCAACTTCCTCATGTCTTTTCTCTTCTGCATCTAAATCAATTCGTTCCTCTGTACTATTCCGAAGAGCCCAGCACAGACGATACAGCTACACAAAGACCATAGACAAGCACATTAGTGATGGAGCAAATGTTTAAATAATATGATGGTACATTCATTTATTGTATAGTGCAAGAAAATCAAATGACATTACATAGTATATGTATAGTCTTCTACCACACAAATTCACAAAAACACACTAACCATTTAAAATTATTTATGTTTTTAACTCTTCCAGTAGTTATTAAACACTCGTAAGTAATATTCCTTAAATTTTTTTTAACCCTTATTCATTTTTGAGAGACAGAGAGAGACAGAGCATGAGCGGGGTAGGGGCAGAGAGAGAGGAAGACACAGAATCTGAAGCAGGCTCCAGGCTCTGAGCTGTCAGCATAGAGCCTGACGCAGGGCTCGAACCCACAAACCGTGAGGTGATTGAACCACCCAGGTGCCCCATCTTAAGCAATATTCTTAAAACTCTTACTTCTGGATTTATAATTTCATAAAAGTCAAATATTTATCTAACTTACATATACCTCTGCTTCACTCATTGTCCTTATCATTCAGCTGTTATTAGTTGCATTATTATTACTTTCAGTTTGTTTAGTGGGTACCTTTGTAACTTTTAAAATATCTTCTTTAGCTCCATTTCTGGATCCATCATGTTTAGATAATATCTATGTACTACTATTAAGTTATGATAACAATTTGTGCCCTTATACATCCATTTTCCAGCCAACCTCCGAGCTTTTGTCAACTGTATCATTATTTTAAAACTGTTATAAGCTTTATAGAATTTAATTGTTTTCTGCAAATATGATTAATATTTCCATGCATCCCCTGAGATTTCTTTTTACTGCACAGCTAGGTTAGATCCACAACACTACTCATGACCTTCTCTGACAGGACTATTGATATTTATCGGTTGATTTTGAAAATTCAAACCTCACAGTATATTTATGAAACATAAACATAAATTAGATAAATGGTCTTATTGGTCCTTTAGACACATTTAAAAAATCAATAATAAATTATATTATTTTTATTGCCATAAAAGCTTAATATTTATATTTCCTTGAAAAATATAACATATTTTCTAGTGGTTTTTTTTTTTTTTCATTCAACTCCCAATATTCAACACAAATATTTCATTGTGACTTCTGGTGGCATGTCTTTAGAAAAGTAATTTGAACCATTCTGTGTTTCAGGTTTCCCCATCCACAAATAATATTTACTACTTTCTAAAAGAATATGCAAATAAATATTGCTGCAAAGATCGAGTGATACATGCAAAATAAATAAAAGTTATACATGTTAGTAATACATTCAAACAGTGTTAGTATATAAGCAGTATTTAAGTTAAAAAAATGACTAATATTTGCTGGTCCTCTATAATGTTTCCCCCAGAGATACCTTTTTACTTGGTTTGGTGTGCTTTTTATGCTTTTAAAGGTATTTTTTCCATTGTTAGACATATATATATATATATATATATATATATATATATACACATTTTGTGTGTGTGTTTTATTTTCAAAAAGTGATATTATATAATACTATATTCTGCAAGCATTTTTTCCCCACTTACTCATGTCATGGACATTTAAAAAGGAAATGATTGAGCTCCTCAGGTTTTTGAACAGATGCATAATATTTAGTGTGCTATTATTGTGTATCCATTCCACTAGCAATGGAAATTTGGGTTGTCTCCATCTTTTTCTACTAGAAACCTTTGCAGAGAAAATTTATATATATATTTCCTACTTGTAGAAGTATTTCTACACAGTAAGTTCCTAGAAATGGGGATGTTGGTTCATATGGTATGAGAATTTTAATTTTAATTGATAAATACTCCCCAATTGCCTTTCTACAAACCCATGAATTCATACATTCACCAATGATTTTGGAGTGTGGACATTCCCCAACATTCTTACCAACATTAGACATATTCATATTAAACTGTTTTGCCAATTTGAAAGGCATCTCATTCTATTTGTCTTTTTCCTGCCACCTGGTACCATGTACTTTTTTTTTTTTTAATCTCTGTATTGGTGTAGTTGTATTGTGTATGAAATTCTACTCATCCCCAAATAGTCCCAGGCCAGATTGCAACTCTGCTGTGAAGTCTTTTCCAATCTCTTAGGCAACACTAATTACTCTCTTTCTGGTATCCTATAACAAAGATAAAGATTTATCTACTAACTGCATTGTGAAGTTTTTTGAGGGTGAAGCCCATTTCCTAATACCCCAGAAGGCAAAGAACCCTTATTTATTTATTTATTTATTTATTTATTTATTTATTTATTTAGAGAACCCCAAGCAAGCTCCATGCCCAGTGCAGAGCCTGACACGGAGCTTGATCTCATGACGCTGGGATCATGACCTAAGCCAAAATCAAGAGTCTGTTGCTTAACTGACTGAGTCACCCAGGCACACCAAGAACTCTTATTTTAAAATGAGTACTCACATGTACATCAGGAATGGGTTTTGTTAACAGGGAAATTCCTAGGACAACTAGTATGGAAACAAAAAAGAGGATGATGGCAAAGTACAGATAGTGCACTCCACAGATGACCTTGGGACAGTCACTGGCAGCCAAGCAACTTCCTGTTCCATAGGCAAACTCTGCAATCATGCGAATAAGGCCAATCACAAGTCCAATGACTAGACCCCAGAAGGCTCCCTGCAAAAGAAACAAGAATAAAATCAGAGTACTTAGAAAAGATGAGAAGCTCATTTGAGTAGGTAACAATTATCATCCTACCTACTTTCTCCATTAAGAACCAATAATGGCTAACCCTGAGCATAAAGTCACCAAAGCAAGAAAAAGGTACAAATACACGTGTTTATTTAGTGATACTGAAATTTCATTGCATCAGACACTACTTCAGGGCACTACTGTACACTCTGACCCAAGCTTAAGTTTACCTTGAATTTTATTTTATATATAGATTTTATAAGTTGTGGCTTATTTTATAGAATAAACAGAACTATGGCTTATGTTACACAATTTACAGAGTTGATATTAGATAGTTATGATAGTTCTATTAAGCTTTTGGCAATTAAGAGCATCTGTATTCTCTGAGAAGCTGGTGGGCTTGGAAACATATGTCCTCTAGTCCTCTGATCAAGATATTATGTTCAAGGGGAAATGGTATTGCATAGACATTAAAAGCATGAGCTTTAGTTGGAGGAAGACCTGAATCTGAATCCCAAAATACTACTTACTAATACTAAATAACATTTGAAAAGCACATAAGATAATAACCTCTCTGTACCTATTCTTCATTTCAAAATTATAATAAAGTTAACAGTTGGAAACAATTAAGGGATTAAATGCCCACGATCCAAAATAATCAGTTACATATATTATAACATAAATTAACATTTAAAAAAAATTTTTTAACGTTTATTTATTTTTGAGACAGAGAGAGACAGAGCATGAATGGGGGAGGGTCAGAGAGAGAGGGAGACACAGAATCTGAAACAGGCTCCAGGCTCTGAGCTGTCAGCACAGAGCCTGACGCCAGGCTCGAACTCACGGACCGTGAGACCATGACCTGAGCCGAAGTCGGAGGCTTAACTGACTGAGCCACCCAGACGCCCCTAGAAATTAACATTTTTAATTGTTAATAGAGTGGTAGGTTTTCTTCTAAGCACTTCACATTAAAATAAATCCCTTTTGGGGTGATAAATCCCTTGGGTGGCTCAGTTGAGTGTCCGACTTCGCTCAGATCATGATCTCACAGTTTGTGGGTTCCAGCCCCGTGTTGGGCTCTGTGCTGACAGCTTGGAGCCCCGAGCCTGCTTTGGATTCTGTGTCTCCCCCTCTCTCTGCTCCTCCCCGACTCATGTTCTCTCTTGCTTTCACTCTCAAAAATAAATAAACATAAAAAAATTAAAATAAATCCCTTTTAATCTTCACAGCAATCCTATAAAGTAGGCACTGTGATTATCTTCATTCTACACAGAATCAAATGGTTTGCTTAAGATCAAAGGATTGATAGAGCCAGGATTGGATTCAGTCAGTCTTACTCCAAAACTTGTGTTCCTTAGTATTGTGTCATATATGTATATATTTTGTAAGAAATATACAGACTGTACTATAAGTGTGCCCTATGTATTTACACACTTTAATAAGAATCAGGAATTATAGCTGAATACAATTAAAATTGAGATGGGCTTTGAGTTATATAAACAGGGTGGAAAGAATGCATTTTCCTACCAGTTAAAGAAAATATTCTCACTCCAGCAGGGAAGAAGTTTTCCGATTTTTCACTTACCTGTTCATTGACTCTTTTACAGAAGATGGCAAGCAGGAAGACAGCCGCAATTGGAGGCCCAAGGTAGCTAGAAATTGATTCTATATAATGGAATAGTTGTCCATTTTGAGATACCTGCACTAATGGGACCCACAAAATGCTGATGGCAATTAATAGAATGATAAATAGCCTGGAGAGAAAGCAAAATGATTTAAATATTAAACAAAAGTATTATTGGCACTTCCACTGTGCTTTACAGTTCTTGATTCTTGTGGCCATTCATTGATTTTCCAAATAAAATCACACTCCTTGACCTCACATGAAGCCATGGAATGCTTAATGACCATAGGTTAGTAAAATGCCAATAAAGCAATTGCTTCTCTGTAAATAGCTTCAACTGTGAGGTTAAATATCCATTCATAAAACAGTTCAAATGTCAGCAACTGGTTAATAATTTTCTAGTGCAATTTATGTAATGTATCAGTTAGGAAAAAAACACCACACTGTTTCTATGGTAAGTAATCATTTGTATGATAAAGAAAGCAGATCCCCATTTTGATCTTTTTTTTCCTAGCTTGAGAGAAACTAAGTCAGTTTTCACAGGTTGGAATTAAAATATCCTTTCTCCTAGCATGCTGAGTGAATTGGCCAGAAATGCTAATTTGTGCATTTTACTACCTGAGTACTTTGGCAGGTAGAAGGAGTTAGTAAAAAACTTTTTACAGGTCCTGTGGTCCAGGGAGAATAAGCTCAATATTCTGTACTTATTGTGCGAAGAAACACACATAATTTACTGGACTGTCTGCAAAAGGTCATTACTTCTCTGTGCTTATCTGAAACAGAGAGGTGGGGACTGGGAGAAATGGGGGACAGGCATTTGGGCAGGAGACTGAGGCACAAGTGTCTTATTGAAAGTTCACAAAACTTTTGCAACCTTGTAATAATTAAATGTGATAAACCATGGAAAGTCTGAGCATGATGCGTAGAGTATAATAAGGATTCAATAAATAATACCCACTGTCCTTGTCATGTACCTCTCTTGCTCGCTTATCTTCAGTTGTTTTCCATCATATGTGGAATAAAATCCAAAATCTTGTTATGGTTTAAATGGCCCTACATAATTTCACCTCTAGCTATCTTTCAGATCATGTTTCTTATCACTCTTCCACTTGCTTGTATGTGCCAACCTCACTCCTGCTGTCCTCACACCACACATATGACTGTTGTAAGAATTCAGCACTTACTGTTCCATCCCCACGGAGCCATGGGGCTCATTCCCACACTTCCCTGATGGTTGTGCATAAAGGCCACCTTCTCAGGGAAGACTCCCTGAACACCTGTCTTAAGTAACCCCCATATTTAATCTCACTTTAATTTTCTCCCTGCCACTTTTGCCATCAGATATAGAACATATTTATTAATTGTCTGTCTTGCCAACAAAGGTGTAAATCCCACAAAGCAGGAAATTATTTTTTACATATATGTCCTTTTCCATATTTGTATTCTGGGATATAGAAGGCTTTTAATAAGAGAGAGAGAGAGAGAGAAACTCATTAATTCAAAATAGAGACTTAAAGGGTATTCATACCCAAGATCATATGCCTATTGGTAGACTTCTGCATCCTGGGCTTCTGAATTCAGGGTCCAATACTTTCTCTACTACAGAAACACAGATGCTTTACTGCTCTTCCTCTCCTGTAATGTCCAGAGTGAAGATCTGGACCAAGTGAGCCCTTGGAATTTTCCTTGCAAATGCTTAATTTACTAAGTGATTGTTACTGTCTTCAGCAAAGCAGTATCTTTTACATAGGTAGTCAGATTCTCTTGATACTCCATTTCTTTTTTTTTTAATTTTTTAGCATTTATTTAGTTTTGAGAGACAGAGAAAGACAGAGCATGAGTAGGGGAGGGGCAGGAAGAGAGGGAGACACAGAATCCAAAGCAGGCTCCAGGCTCTGAGCTATCAGTACTGAGCCTAACATGGGGCTTGAACTCAGGAACAATGAGATCATGACCTGAGCTGAAATCAGATACTTAACTGACTGAGCCACCCAGGTGCCCCCTCTTGATACTCCATTTCTTAATGAGTGCAGTTGATAAACTACTGTGTAGTAGTGTGTGGATGACTTAATCTGTGACTTCCTTCATGTGATATACATGGAAACTTCTAGAGACTGCTTTAACCCCATGAAACTTTATACCCCATGAAAACCACTGGAGTTTCATGGAGATATGGTTGGAAGAGAGTGTGAGGGGAGGAAGAAATAAGAGACAATCAGAGGCATTTGAAACCCTTAAAAGCAACTATTTTGTTTAAAAGTATGACCCTGGGGTGCCTGGGTGGCTCAGTCAGTTGAGCATCTAACTTTGGCTCAGGTCTGATCTCACTGTTCCTGAGTTCAAGCTCCGTGTTAAGCTCAGTGCTGACAGCTCAGAACCTGGAGCCCGCTTTGGATTCTGTGTTTCCCTCTCTCTCTGACCCTCCCCCACTTGCACTCTGTGTCTCTCTTTCTCAAAAATAAATAAACCTTAAAAAAAAAGTATGGCCTAAAGTTTCCTATCTGGAAAGAAATGAAGTTGGATTAAATATCCTCTTAATATCCCTTTCCCACTCTAGAATTCTATTATTTGTTTCACTGAACCCAAGAAGAAGGTTCTAGTTCGGTTGTATTTCTGTGCTTTCCAGAGAAATTTTAGACAGAAGCCAGGATTTTCTCACCGTCCTGTTATAAGAAGCTCTTTCTCTGATGCCTGTTTCCTAATCTTGGTGTACAGGTCCATGGTAAAGAGGGTGCTAGCACTGTTGAAGATGGAGGTCATGGAGCTCATGAGAGAGGCCAACATGACTGACAGCATCAGACCTCGCAGTCCTGGGGCCAGATGAGAGTGCAAACATTAGTTAGGAATTGGACTCCATGATTTATGAGGGCCTTGCTAAACCAGAGTCATTCAAAAGTGTCACCTGGAACATTTACCAACTGATGTGCCTGTCAACGCATATCATCATGTAGCATTTCCTGCAAATTTCCTGGTGATTTGAGAATGATCCAGTACAGAATTTTAGTTTTAAATGTAAACTTAGAGATCATTTGCTGGAACCTAAATTTGGGAGAGAGGAACAGTGTTGTACCATCTTTCTTTGGGGAGAACCTCTTGGCTTCCTGAAGACTTAGACAACTAGAGAGGGAAAAGCCTAGTAAGCAGTTCTGTTAAAGAAGTTTTTGTTGGGAAAAGCAAAGAGTTTTGGGATATTATGGTAACTTCATCCTCCACTTCCCTCTGCTTATTAATAATGCCCCTAAACTCCTAAGACAAAGTGTGGAATGAGATGGATGGGTGATGTCACTTGTGGGTCATGTTCCCTTCTTCTTGACAATGCTCATGTGTGTCAGGGAGGAGAAAGATTGAAGAAGTATTAGCTGACCTTTGAAGGTATAAGATCACCTGGTTGTTCCTGAGCCCCATACTCTGCTCTGTTACTGACCACACAGATCACCTTCTAGCATCCTAATAATTTACTTTTGCCACATGTGTCATTTATTTTATATCTCATGAAACTAGAATGTGAGTTCCAAGGTATAGGGGATTTTGTGCTTATTTCACTGATGTTTTCTTTTCTTTTTTAATTTTTTAAATGTTTATTTATTTTTGAGAGAAAAAGAGCATGAGTGGGGAAGGGGGAGAGAGAGAGAGAGAGAGAGACAGAATCTAAACCGGCTCCAGGCTCTGAGCCATCAGCAGAGAGCCCAACATGGGGCTTGAACTCGGAAATGGCGAGATCATGACCTGAGCTGAAGTCGGTCACCTAACCGACTGAGCCACTCAGGTGCCCCTCACTGATGTTTTCTAAGCACCAGGGCAGGCTCTGGCACATAGTAGGCACTCAATAAATAGCTGTAAATTAAATATATTGAGGCATATTATTTGGGTATAACTGGTCTAGAGAAAGCAGGCTAAATCATTAACATCTAGTTTTCTGAGTTTGTAAGTTTGTGTTTATGCAACTATTTTATTGACAAATCCATCACTTAAATGCTCTTGATTGTCTTGGAAGACAATCTTGAATCCAAAGGAGTAAGGATTCTTCTAATAGGAATTATATCTGATTCATCTCTGTATTCCCCAGGCTCAGCACCGGACTGGTAGCCTATGGAAAGTGCTCAAGAAATGTCTGATGAAGCCAATTGAATTAATGGAAGTTAAGATTATTAAGGATTACGCCATAATCTTTCCTCATGGACCATTTATACACTAGGTCTCTGAGGCAGTCCCAGAAAAAAGTGAACATATTTTTTCCAGCTTTATTGAGGTATGACTGACAAATAACAATTGTATATAGTTAAGATGTATAATGTGATGTTTTTATACATGTATACATTGTGAAATGATTACCATAATCAAGCTAGTTAACATAACCGTCACCTCACATAGTTACAGTTTTCTTGTTTTGTGGTGAGAATACTTGAGATCTATTCTCTTAGCAAACTTTAAACATACATTCTTATTAACTATAATCTCCCTACTGTACATTAGTTCTCCAGAACTTACTCATCTTGTAACTGAAAGTTTGTACCCTTTGAAATCTTCCCATTTCCCCTACCCCCAGCCCCTGGAAACCACCATTGTACTCTCTGCTTGTATGAGTTCCACTTGTTTAGATTCCACATATTAAGCGACATTGTGTGCTTTTTTGTCTTTCTGTATCTGGTTTATCTCACTTAGCATAATGTCTTCCAGGTTCATCTATATTGTTGTTGCACTTGGCAGATTTTCATTTTTTTTAAGGCTGACATTAATAATGATATTCCATTATCTATATCTATATTTATTATCTATCTATCTATCTATCTATCTATCTATCTATCTCTCATCACATTTTCTCCATTCATTTGAGTGTGGACCTTTTCTTACCATCAGGCATCAGTTCCAGCACCATCACTGGGTAGGCATAGTTAGTACAACCGACTTCAATGCCACAATGTTTCACACATTCAGAAGGTACAACACAGGCCACCTTCTCTGAGGGGGGAATTCAGATAAGTGGGTTCAGTGAGTGGGGCCCAAACAGGTAAGATCTACAACCATTTGACATAGAGACAAGTTGTAAGATGATAAGTAAGAGGAGAGACATTTACTTGGAAATTGGAGATTCAACCTTGAACTCCATACCATAGAGCTGGTCCCTCTTTACCCAGAATATGACTTCCTAAGTGTCTCATACCTGTACCTCCCCTTGCACTGACCTAAGGGGCAGGGCTCCTCTTTGGGATGTGGCCCAGCTATTGCATTAGAGCAATTAGGGGGAGCTGATTCCATCCTCCAGAAAATCTGCAAGAACATAAATTCTCCCAGAGGCACAGAACTCCAGATGAAACAATCACAACAGCCACAACAACAAAATGGAAATTAGTTTTGTGTCTAGTCATTTAGTTCAGTGTTTTCTACCTACAGCTAAGAAGTGTCATTTGTGATCATTATTGGGGTGATTGCTCATGTGGGATGAGGCCTCCCTTTACTGTGGCAGTTGTACAATACCTTGTTGATTCTTTTTTTACTTAAACAATATTATGACAACAGATAGCAAAAAATGATTTAAAAAATCCCATAGAATACTGACACCTTAACACATTAGCTTCTTTTAGTTTTTTTATTCCTTTCTAATCTTTTTCCAGACAGAAATGTCTTTTTGCATAACTATGGCAATTGTTGAGATAATATTTTGTAGTCTGCTTTTTACCCTTAAACATAATAACTTCAGCATTTGACCACAATTTGAGAAAGTCTTCAGTCCTTACGTGTAATTTTCCATAAAGGGGGTATTTAATAATTTCTTTGGCCATTCCTTATTAGTTGGATATATATGTGTCAAATATGCCAAATTTTCCTGCTTCTGACATTCTGCAAAATCTGTTCTCTTCACCTGGATTTGTGTTTTAACTTCCATACATAATGGGTTTTCTAGCTTATCAAGGTTTTAATAAATATTAAAACCAGTATTTAAATTCAAGCATACAAGACAGAGGATTTATGAATCAATGGCTTGCCTGTGTATAGGATGCGGCTGATCATTCCTGGCATTACCATGAGGAACATGGGCAGCAGCTTCAGGTACCCACACATGATGCAGGCAGCTTTCACATGAGACATGTTCTTGCCTGATAGGCAGCGCTGCACAATAACCTGCCAGAAGAACATGACATAGTCATGAAGCAACTAGAGGATGATCCAAAGAAGGGGAGTGCCTCTTTTCAAGGATTAATGTTACAACAAGATATGGGATCATGAGTAGTGGAAAATAATCAGCTTCAGAGTAAAATCAGAACTCTAATCCCTGCTCCTCTTACATGAGTATTTGACTTTGTGAGACTCAGCTCTCTCATCTTTAAGAGGGTTATCTCTTGTAGGATATTCTGAATATTTGGTATAATGTTTGTAAGACTCTTGGTACATAGAAGTCAATACCCATCACTACTATCAAAATGTTCGCAGCTCCTAGGCTGCATTGCAACAATGACCATGTACTTGTCCAGGTACAAAGCTGTCACTACTGATCTTTGCCACAAGTCGTGTGTTTAAGTTGTGCATTTAATGTTGTAGGCACCAAATAAGCCACATACTCATCAGTATCTCTCTACTGTTAGGGATCAACTGTCCATTTGGAAAATCAAGCCCATTGCCATAGAAACAACAGAGTCAGGCAGCCATCAGAAGAGAACCTTGAGACATTCATCTCTAGATATGAATCAGTTATGAATAAAATATTGTGGTCCTGGGAAATTCAATGCATATAATCTCATAATTTCCACTTAAGTTGTGTAATCTCTTGACTAAGAATTTTCTAGAAAAACAGGATTTCTACCCATAATGCCATTGCTTCTTGACATTTTTCTTCTCAAGGAATGTCAGAAAATGGCGATGACTTTTTCTGCTTACTTTTCTTTGGAGAGACAAATCTATTAGGGATAGCAACAATGTCACTCAGTGCTAGGGGAACAGGTACTATCCTTAGACAGAAGGCTTGAAGCAGAAAGTTGGAGGGACAATACAAATTATATGTAAAATAGGGGATTCCTGTCAGAAAATAAGCAGGGTCCGGGTATCAGATCTAAGGGTGAATATGAGGCCACCTAAATATAGGAGATAAGTCATGTGGTCAGTGGCAAAATATAAACAATAAAGATTTTTGCACAAATCAGTGAAAGAGTACATTCTTTGGGAGACATGTTGATAAAATCAGTTTATTATATAGAGAAAAAGAAAAATTATCTCACACTGATACCAGTGACCATTGATCCAAGATAGTCCATTTTGGACCATTGATCCCAAAATGTGAAATTTTAAGTTTGACTTGACAGAGACTATCTGGGGTGAAGAAAACTTCAAAACAGAAAACAAAACAAACTTACATGCTATAAAAAGGAACATACAGAAAACCAAAAATAAGATCTTGGGGGTCATAAATACAAAGGCAGAAAAACTGAAGGATAATATTGAGGTAATTTCCTAGAAAATAGAGCAAAAAGACCAAGATATGGTAGATGTGGAGGAAAGATAAGAACACTAGAAAACCAGTTGAGGAAGACCAACACCCAAAGTGGAAGTTCTCCAAAGGAAAACAAAATGCAAGAAATCAAAGAATTCCACCAATTCATTAAAGATGTCCATTACTATATTAAACTTGTTCACAGTAGTCCATCACAATGAACAAAAAAAGACCTACACACAATAGCACATTGTATGAAATTTCAGAACACTGAGGACAAAGGCAAGATAAACTTCCAGAGAGAAAAGACACGTTACATCCAAAGGATCAAGAATAACTTCAGGCTTTTCAACAGCAATGGTGGAAGTCAAAAGATGGTAATTTATGGCTGGAAAATTATTTAAGGCCTAGAAATGCGTACATGGCCAGAGGATAAATTTGGGAAAAGTTGGAGTGAAGACATCTTCAAACATGAAGACAAATTCACAATAGATGTATCTCCTGTGTTTCTTGGGAACTTACTGGAGAATTCAATTGCCCTGAAAGAAGTAAACCAAGAAAGAAGATGATTTGGGATACTTGAAATATGATATATAATCCAAGGATGAGCCAAAGAGAACCCCAAATATGGTAGTAAAGGGGGTCCTGGATTAGGATGGGCACTAGGCACAGAGAACAACCCAGCAGTTTGTGAGAGGCCAAAGGTTTTAAGAGAAAATGAGAAAAAGAGTTGGTAGGATATTTGATGTGTTTGCAAGTACACATCAAGGAGATTTAGGCAATCTGCAGAAAGCTTGGTGTTTAATGAGTAATAATTACCAAGAAAATTTAAAACACAAAAAATAAGACTTATTTATTCTAGAGAAAAGAAAAAGCTAAAGAAAAATCAATCAGAGAATATCATGTGGCTTAGCTGTGGATTATATTTATGTAGCCACAAAAATGGTAGCACTGAATGCTGATCTCACCAAAATTGTGAATTAGTTTTACTGGAAGATGGAGGATTGAAGATAAAAAATTGAAAGAGCTAGGGGCGCCTGGGTGGCTCAGTCAGTTAAGCGTCCGACTTCAGCTCAGATCATGACCTCACAGTTTGTGAATTTGAGCCCCGCGTTGGGCTCTGTGCTGACAGCTCGTAGCCTGCAGCCTGCTTTGGATTTTGTGTCTCCCTCTCTCTCTGCCCTTTCCCTGCTTACACTCTGTCTGTGTCTCTCTCTCAAAAATAAATAATAAAAACATTAAAAAAAAGAAAAAAAAAGAAAAGAAAGAGCTAAACCCTCATCTTTCATTATTGGAAGCCAGTGTAAAAATCCTAAAACTGGAAAACCAAAAGGGATCAATAGAAACATTTATTTAAATCACCTGGGGAACAAATTTACAAGCAAATTCTGATTCAGTGAGTCTGGGTAGCATCTGAGAACAGTTATTTCTAATGAGCTTCAAGGTGACATTCACTCCAATGGTACACAGGCCATGCATTGAGTACAAGGATTTAGAGAAGAAACATACATACCAAAATACCTAACTGAAGGAGTCAATAATGTTTGCTTTTGAGAGTCAAGAAATGAGTAGAGAGCAGGACACCAGACAACTATTTATCATAACAAGACTTGTAGAAGTGTTTGACTCTTTAAATGATGTGTGTTTGTGCATGTGTATATGTATATATGTGTACAAAATAGAAACTAGATGCTTTTCTATGAGGAGAAAAAGAACAACATGAACATATTTACACACCACACACATACTTCACCTGATCTGTGCACCAGTACCACACAGCAACAATGGTCATTCCAAATATCATTCCTGGCCATGGAATATCTCCAGTGACAGCATCTCGGAAGATGTGAAAGGAGTCAGCCTGAGGAGTGTAGCACTTGGGATTGATTGTCAGGTTGTCCCCCTCAACTATGGATGGGATGGCATTCATGTACTTCTCTGTAAAACTCTCATAGCCTCCCACTTTAGCAAATGCTGCAAAGGTATTGGATAAAATGAAATGTTATACACAAATCTAAGACATCTGTTGTTCATAATTATTCCTTTGTGGTGGAAGTGTCCAATCATCTCCAATCAGCCTGGTCAAATCCGTAGTGTTCTCAGAGAACTCATGTCTTTCTAATACCACTGGCATTGGTAATGCTATCATGCTTTCACAATGTACAGGAAGCAAATCACCCTTTAACTTTTCTTCTTATTGAAAATTTTCTCTTCTCTTGAAAATTTTTAGTGTCTATGCTTATGGTAAAAATAAAAATTGTTATCCAACAGACTGATATTGATATCTCACAACCATCTAGAACAGAGATAAAACATGAAGATGAGGTAACAGAGTGAGCCTAACAATTAGCCATCAGAAAGCCCCTACTCCTCTGAATGGACCAGAAGTAATGGTCTCTGTTCCTGATACAAAGTCTGGCTGTTTTGACTTTATGCACAGTCTGTTTTTTGGTGCAATACTGACTGTATTCTTTCTATGTTACAACAAAAAATGGGAAGATAAGGAGCAGAAATTAGAGGCAGCAGTTTATGTATGGTGAGGTGAAATGGTGAGGCTCAGCCTGCGGGGGGAGGGGTGCTGGAAAGGCAAGACAGGTGTAGAAAAGAACCATAATGAGAATGTATGGGTGGCTCAGTCAGTTAAGTGTCTGACTCTTGATTTCGGCTAAGGTCATGATCTCATGGTTTGTGGGATTGAGCCCCACATCAGGCTCTGCATTGGCAGTGTGGAGCCTGCTTGGGATTCTCTCTCTGCACTTTCTCTTTCAAAATAAATAAATAAATAAATAAATAAATAAATAAACAAACAAACAAACAAACAAACAAACTAAAAAAAAGAACAATAATGGATAGAAACCTTAGAAAGAAGAAGGATGAGCCCAGGCTTCTCAGCCCACTTAGTATAGTTTCAAATAGTGCAAAATTCATCTGAGTATCATATATCTGTAGAGTTGAGGTTGATATTATTTTACTTTTTCATTACTTATTTCATTTAGCATCAAAAATGTTTGCATGTGCCAAACATTGTGATGGGATTATATACAAAATGAATGTACAAGGCAGGATCTCAATACAAAGGAGGATACAGATAATACAAGGAAATTGTTCTGTTAAGGGGAATATTGTTTGTGACAACAATACATGAAGAATGCTAGAAGATGAGAGATTCCATCCTAAGGATGGGAGAAGGCTTAGAGAGGTTGATGCCAGAGGTCCATCACCAAAGCCAGACACCAAAGAACCATAAATAAGAATATCAAAGAAGTCCTGGTTAACTAAATAGAAAGTTTGTAAAGAATTGGTACTAGCAATGGCCTCTGGAGCAGCACTTTCAGTAATGATAGAACTTTCGGTAATGATAGAATTCTATATATTCTATATCTGTGCTGTCAAATATGAAAACTACTAGCTATATATTAAGCACTTGAAATATGGCTAGGCAAATCAGAAACTGAATTTTACATTTTGATTATTTTTTATTGTTTTTGAATTTAAATAGCCATATGTGACCAATCGCATTCATTTTGTGTCAAAATCATCAACTCTTTTTGTGCATTTGTTGTCTTTGCAGTTCTGTCAGTTTTTGCTTCATATTATCTTCAAGCCCTGTGATTAGGGTTCATGAATATTCACAACTGTATTCAGTGCAGCTTGAGTGGATGGAATTTGGTGGCTGCAGGACAGAGGAGAGATGAAAAGACACTTATTTTCATCTTATATCCTTTTTACTGTATGCATGGATTTCCTGTCCAAAGTTAAATAAGTAGCATAATAAAAGAAAACAAAAATAGGCAAGCTATAAGTTAAATTCATCAGTAGTGCTTGCTGCATGACTTAAGAGAAATATACAAACTGTGTTTGTACATTCTAACAATAGAGGGAGTAACATACTTTAATAATTTCCATCTGAAACAGTCACAGTGAAGTTAAGAGTCAGTTGTCTTAAACTGTTCTTACTATTTAATACTTATTTTTATGAAGATTCTACATAATGGTTTATGTGCATTGAATCCAGTGCACCAATAGTTGTGTAAAATTATCAACCCAGTGACACTGATTTTGTCTATTTCAAACACAAACATATTAAGATTAAAACTGAGGAATAATTTTTTAAAGAAAGTAAAGTTCTCCCCCCCCTCATTTTCTCATGCTGAGATAGTACAGCAAGAAGTTAGGCAGATGCTTCAATGATGTATTATACGTATGTCGAAAAGTGTGACCACGTAGAACAGGGAGGCAGTAGTAAAGAGCAGATGGACTGAACAGACACAAATCTCATGATTTCCAGCCCCAGGGCACTGCTCCCACTGTCATCACTTACCATACCCCATGAGAATAAAGGAACCTAGCAGCATGATGATGGTCTGGAGGGTGTCTGTGTAAATAACTGAGGCCAAGCCCCCTGTGTAGAGAAAGAAAAGAATCAGGATATTTTTTCCCTGTACTCTCATCTCTTTGCCTTCACTTTTAGGTTTTCCTCAAACCAAACCCTAGAAACTCAGCAAAGAATATATGGAAAGTTCTTGACTGGGCCACAAGCTCCTCTTGGCATCATTATCTCCTTAGTATTTATGTGTCACATTAACCCTCTTGTCTCCCTTATCTTGCCTCGACTCAAAGTTTCTATGAATTATACTGGAATTTCACCCTTATGTGAGTTTTTGAATACCAAATAGCAGAAAAGGCAAAACTTTTGGAACCAGAGTATATTATGCTAAGTGAAATAAGTTAGTCAAAAACAAATACCATATGATTTTGCTCATAATTAAAAAGCAAAACAGATGAACATAGTGGAGGGAAGGAAAAATAAAATAATATATAAACAAAGAGGGAGGCAAATGGTAAGAGACTCTTAAATATAGAGAACAAACTGAGGTTGCTGGAGGTGAGTTGGGTGGGGGGATGGGCTAAACTGGCGATTGGCATTAAGGAGGGCACTTGCTGGGATGAGCACTGGGTGTTATATGTTATAAGTGATGAATCACTAAATTCTATTCCTAAAACCATTATTACAATATATACTAACTAACTTGAATTGAAAAAAAAAATTAAAAGAAAGAAAAGGCAATACTTCATTATCATGAAAGTTTTTCCCTTAACTATCTCTCAATTCACTCCATTTAGCACAGTATACTAGTTCTCAAAAAATAGGGCAAAGCAATTTTTGCTCTAGTATTGGCATATATCATTGTTTCATAAGTTGAATGCCAGATATAGCTGTTGACTTGTGTTTTGCTCGAGTGTTATGCAAACAGCAACTTCTTTTTCAACTCTAGACTTGCTAGACTCTCCGCCAACAAGCTATTTCCTTCTAAGAGTATCATGGGAAAACAAGGCTGATCGTAAATAGAAGACTTATGTCTTCATCTTTCATTTATTTTGAAACATATGCTATATGTATGAAAATTGCTCTGGAACTATCTTGATTGTTCCAGCTGTTATTTTTCTTTATTTTTTCCAACTAAACTTGTATAGTTTCATTTTCATAAGTTAGTAAGTGTTGGATGCTAGGCCCATGAGAGCCTGCTTGGACCATTGCCACATACTTTATCCCAACAACCAACTCACTGCTCCAGTTCTTCTCTCCGGATTCTGCCTTTCAGAGCCCAGGCATCCTGTACTTATTTGGGCGCTGCCTTAGATTTGTCAATCCCATGTCTGAGCTGCTGTTTCATTTTGACTTTCCATGTGTATGCTATGCTGGATTCCAAATGACAATCTGGGCCCTAAACAAAAAGCTGAGACAAATCACCATTTCCCCACTGTACCTACCACATCATTATCTTCAGTCAAGGTGCTTACACCTAATAGTGAGGATTTTTTTTTTGAAATGGAAATGTTCTGGATATGCAGAGTCAAATGCTTCCTTCTCAGTTTAGTAATTAACTTTAAAAAATTTTAATTCCAATATAGTTAACATATGGTGTTATATTAGTTTCAGTTGTACAATATAGGATTCAATAATTCTGTACATCACCCATTGCTCATCACAATGAGTGCACTCCTTAAGCCCCACCACCTATTTCACCCATTCCCAACACACCTCCCTTCTGATAACTATCACTTTGTTCTCTATAGTTAAGAGGCTGTTTCTTAGTTTTTCTCTCTCTCTTTTCTTTTCCTTTGCTCATTTGTTTTGTTTCTTAAATTCCACATATGAGTGAAATAATATGGTATTTGTCTTTTCTGACTAATTTATTTCACTTAGCATTATACTCCTTAGCTCCATCCGTGTTGCTGCAAATGGCAAGGTTTCATTCTTTTTTATGGCTGAATAATATTCCATGGGGTGTGTGTGTGTGTGTGTGTGTGTGTATCAACATAATCTTTATCCATTTATCTATCAAAGGACACTTGGGCTGCTTCCATAATTTGGCTATTGTAAATAACGCTGTTATAAACATATGGGTGCATGTATCCCTCCAAATTAGTTTTTGTTTTTTGTTTTTTGTCTTTTTTTGAGTAAATACCCAGTGTGATTACTGGATCATAGGGTAGTTCTATTTTTAACTTTTTGAGTAAACCCCATACTGCTTTCCAGTGGTTGCACCAGTTTGCATTACCACAAACAGTGCACAAGGGTTCCTTTTTCTTCACATTCTTGCCAAAACTTGCTTCTTGTGTTGTTGATTTTAGCCATTCTGACAGGTGTGAGGTAAATCTCATTGTAATTTTGATTTGAATTTTCCTGATAGTGAGTGATAGTGAACATCTTTTCATGTGTTTGTTGGCCATCTGTACGTCTTCTTTGGAAAAATGTCTGTTCATGTCTTCTGCCCATTTTTTAACTGGATTATTTTTTATTTTTTTATTTTTTTGGTGTTGAGTTGGATAAATTCTTTATATATGTTGGATACTAACCCTTTATAGAATATATCATTTACAGATATTTTTTCCCAGTTGGTAGGTTCCCTTTTAGTTTTATTGGTTGTCTCCTTTGCTGTGCAGAAGGTTTTTATTTTGATGAAGTCCCAATAGTTTATTTTTGTTTTTATTTCTACTGCCTCAGGAGACATCTAGAAAGCAGTTGCTATGGCCAATGTCAGAGAAATTACTGCCCGTGCTCTCTTTAAGTATTTTTATTGTTTCCAGTCTCACATTTAAATCTTTCATCCATTTTGATTTGCGTGTGTGTGTGTGTGTGTGTGTGTGTGTGTGTGTGTGATGTAAGTGGTCCAGTTTCATTCTTCTATATGTTCACCATCCAGTTTTCCCAACACCATTGGCTGAAGAGACTGTCTTTTTCTCATTGGATATTCTTTCCTGCTTTGTGAAAGATTAAATGATCATATAATTGTGGGTTTATTTCTGGGTTTTCTATTCTGTTCTATTGATCTATGTATTATTGGTGTGCCAGTACCATACTGTCTTGATGACTACAGCCTTGTGATGTAACTTGAAATCCAGAATTGTGATTTCTCCAGCTTTGATTTTTCTTTTTCAAAATTCTTTTGGCTATTTGAGGTCTTTTCAGGTTCCATACAAATTGTAGGATTGTTTGTTCCTGCTCTGTGAAAAATGCTTTTAGTATTTTGATAGAGATTATATTAAATATGTAGATTGCTTTGGGTAGTATAGACATTTTAACAATATTCATTCTTCTGATCCATGAATATGGAATGTCTTTCCATTTCTTTGTGTTGTCTTTCTTTCCTTTCATCAGTGTTTTATAGTTTGCAGAATACAGGTCTTTCATCTCTTTGGCTAGGCTTATTCCTACATATCATATTATTTTTGGTGCAATTGTAAATGGGATTCATTTCTTTTTTAATTTTTAACATTTACTTATTTTTGAGAGACAGAACATGAATGGGGGAGGGGCAGAGAGAGAGAGACACACACACAGAATCCAAAGCAGGCTCCAGGCTTTGAGCTGTCAGCACAGAGGCCGACGTTGGGCTCGTACCCAAGAATCGCAAGATCATGACCTGAGCCATAGTCAGATGCTTAACAGATTGAGCCACTCAGTGCCCGTGGGACTCATTTCTTAATTTCTCTTTCTACTGCTTCATTTTTGGTGTATAGAAATACAGATTTTCATACATTTATTTTGTATCCTGTGATTTTACTGAATTCATTTGTAAGTTCTAGAAGATTTTTGGTGGAGTCTTTAGGGTTTTTTATGTGCAGTATCATGTCATTCTGTAAATAGTAAAAGTTTTACTTCTTCTTTATTGATTTGGATGCCTTTTATATCTTTTCAATGTCTGAAGGCTGTGGTTAGGACTTCCAGTACTATGTTGAATAAAAGTGGTGAGAGTGGACATCCTTGTCTTGTTCCTGACCTTGGGGGGAAAGCTCTCAGTTTTTCCCCATTGAGTGTGATGTTCGCTGTGGGTTTTTCACATATGGCATTTATTATGTTTTAGTATGTTCCCTCTAAACCTATTTTGTTGACGGTTTTTCACCAAGAATGGATGTCGTACTTTGTAAAATGCTTTTTCTGCATCCATCTACTAAAATGATCACATGGTTTTTATCCTTTCTTTTATTGATGTGATGTTGATTGATTTGCGAATATTGAACCATATTTGCAACCCAGGAATAAATCCTACTTAATCATTGTGAATGATTTTTAAAATATATTTTGTTGGATTCGGTTTACTTGTATTTTGTTGAGGATTTTTGCATTTATGGTTGTTAGAGATATTGGCCTAAAGTTCTGTTTATTTATTATTTATTTACTTATTATTATTTTTTTTGGTAATGTCTTTATCTGGTTTTGATGTCAGGATGATACTGGTCTGATAGGATAAACTTGGAAATTTTCCTTCTTCTTTTATTTTTTTGAAATAGTTTGGGAAGAGAATATCCAATGGAAAAAAGACAGTCTCTTTAACAAATGGT